ATAGTTCCCGATACTCTATTCATCCGGGCGCCGCTAAGAGGTATTAGGATTTGCGGCACCATTATTGGTGGAGGAGGATGAAGAAGGATATTGTTGCACATGTGGCTCGGTGTTTGAATTGTCAGCAGGTAAAGTACGAGCATTAGAGACCTAGGGGTTTGTTCCAGCAGATTGAGATTCCTGAGTGGAAGTGGGAGCGTATCACTATGGATTTTGTTTTTGGACTCCCACGGACTCAGAGGAAGTTCGATGCAGTATGGGTTATTGTTGATTGGCTGACCAAGTCAGCACATTTCATTCCTATAGGAGTCTCCTATTCTTCTAGAGGTTAGCTGAGATATATGTCCGGGAGATTGTTCGTCTTCATGGTTTGCCCGTGTGTATCATCTCTGACCGGGGTATGAAATTTACCTCACGTTTCTGGAGGGCAGTTAAGCGTGAGTTGGTCACGCGGGTCGAGCTGAGCACAACATTTCATCCTCAAATGGACGGGTAGTCCGAGCGTACTATTCAAATTTTGGAGGATATGCTTCGAGCTTGTTTTGTTAACTTTGGAGGCTCGTGGGATAAGATTTTGCCTTTAGCGAAGTTTGCCTACAACAACAGTTACCAGTCGAGCATTCAGATGGCTCTTTTGAGGCTTTATATGGTAGGTGGTGTCGGTCGCCGGTTGGGTGGTTTGAGTCGGGAGAGGCTCGGTTGTTGGGTACAGATCTAGTACAGGATGCCTTGGACAAGGTCAGGATCATTTAGGATAGGCTTTATATAGCTTAGTCCAGGCAAAAGAGTTATGCCGACCGTAAGGTTCGGGATATAGCATTCATGGTCGGCGAGCGGGTGTTGCTTCGGGTGTCGCCTGTGAAGGGCGTGATGAGATTTGGTAAGAGGGGCAAGCTTAGCCCTAGATTTATTGGCCCGTTTGAGATTCTTTATCGAGTGGGAGAGGTGGCTTACAGACTTGCGTTGCCGCCGAGTTTATCAGCCGTGCATCCAGTGTTTCATGTGTTCATGCTTCGGAAGTATCACGGCGATCCATCCCATGTGTTAGATTTCAGCACTGTCTAGTTGAACAAGGACTTGTCATATGAGGAGGAGCCGGTAGCTATTCTAGACCGGCAGGTTTGTCAGTTAAGATCGAAGAGTTTCCCTTCTGTTCGTGTTCAGTGGAGAGGTCAGTATGTTGAGGCATCGACTTGGGAGTCCGAGTTCGATATGCGGAGCCGTTATACCTATCTTTCTCCGACTCAGGTACTTCCTTCTTTTGTCCATTCGAGGACGAACAGTTGTTTTAGAGGTGGATAATGTGATGACCTAAAAGGTCATCACTACTTATTTTAGAATTAAATTCTGTGTTTTGAGGCTTTAAAACCTCCTTTTTGTCTTACCTCGATTTGCGTGCACAGTCCAGACGTGTATCCGGAAAGCCATTATGTGAAAATCTATGAAAAATGATAAATTTTGCTTTTAAAATGTATTTAGGTTGACTTTGGTCAACATTTTGGATAAACAGACCTGGACCCGTGATTTGACGGTCCCGGAGGGTCCGTAGTAAAATATGGGACTTGGGCGTATGCCCGGAATCAAATTCTGAGGTCCCACGCCCGAAAAATGAATTTTTGAAGAAAATTCTTTGACTGAAATTCATAGAGTTTCTGGAAATTTGTATGTAATTGAATTTGATGGTGTCGGGCCCGTATTTTGGTTCTGGAGCGCGGTACAGGTCATATATGTGATTTAAGTTCAGCCTGTAAAATTTGGTAATAAACGGACTTGAAATGACGTGAATCGGACCACTGGTTGTTAAAATTTGAACTTTAGAGTTCATGAGATTTTTCTTTGATTTTGATGCTAAATTCATAGTTATTGATATTATTTTGATGATTTGACCGCACGAGCAAGTCCGTATGATGTTTTTGGACTTGCGTGCATGTTTGGTTTGGAGCCCCGAGGGCTCGAGTGAGTATTGGATAGGCCACAGAGTGCATTTAGACTTGGAAAATAACTGTTGCAGGTTCAGAGAAGTTGCAGGTCTCTAAACACGGCTTTGCGGTCCGCAGTGATTTCTCGCGACCGCGGTGGGATTTATGCGGTGCGCGGTGAGCAAGGCCAAGCCTTGGCGGCCGCGCTCGATATTTTGCGGTCCGCAGTGGAGCTCCGCGGCCGCAATCCTTTTTATGCGGTCCGCAGTGAGGGTCTGAGAGGGGTATATAAACGGGACCTTTCAGTTATTTTTCCATTTTCAGAAACCTAAAACATAAGGGGCGATTTTTCAAACACTCTTTCTTCCCCAAAATACAAGTAAGTGATTTTAAACTCATTTCTTTCACTCCTTAACTTCTTTTTACAAGATTTCATCCTAGAATCCAGGGTTTTCATGGTGGAATAGGGAATTTTGGGTAGAACTTATGATTTTCAAATTTTGGGTATTTGGACCTCGATTTGAGGTCCGATTTCAAAACAAATTATATATTTGAGTTCATGGGTGAATGGGTAATCGGGTTATGGTCCGAATTTCGGGTTTGGACCAAGCGGGCCCGGGGGTCGATTTTTGACATTCTGGGGAAAACATTTGAAAACCCATTTTCATGCATTAGAATTGATTCATTTAGTATTTATTAATGGTATTAATTAAATTATGGCTAGATACAAGCGAGTTGGTGGTGGAAACAAGAGGTAAAATGGTAGTTGAGGCTCGAATTGTGTTCGTGGCATCAAGGTAAGTGTTTGGTCTAACCTTAGCTTGAGGGATTAGGAGTTGTGTCTTATTTGCTATGTGTTTATTATGGGGTACGACGTATAGGCATGGTGATGAGTATCTATACGTCGTTGTCAAGCATGCCCGTGAGTCTAGTATTGTAATTGTCATGACTCCGTAGTGATTTATTCATGCCTAATATGATGACTACCATTGTTGGTTCCCTTGCCGGGATGTTATTGTTTATGACATTGTCTCCCTTGCCGGGATGTTATTGTTTATGATGTTGTCTCCCTTGTCGGGATGTTGTTGTCATACTCTTGTTCCCTTGCCGTGATTCTTCTTATGACTGATGTTGAATTGTATATGGGATCGGGTGGCATGCCGCCACGGTAATATATGAAATGGGAGCAGGTTGCACGCCTGCAACAAGATATATGAAATGGGAGCGGGTTGCATGCCTGCAACAAGATATATGAAATAGGAGCAGGTTGCACGCCTGCAACAAGATATATGAAATGGGATCGGGTTGCTCGCCTGCAACAAGATATATGAAATGGGATCGGGTTGCATGCATGCAACAAGATATATGAAATGGGATCGGGTTGCACGCCTGCAACAAGATATTTGAAATGGGATCGGGTTGCACGCCTACAACAAGAAAGAGATGAAAGTGAATAATGTGTTTGTTTCTCTTATTCTTGTTAGAATACTGTGTTTGTTTCTCTTATTCTTGTTAGCAATTGAATTTCTGCTTCTTTACATTCCTCTCTGGTATTCTGTTGTTATCTGATACTCCCCGCAGCATGCTTTTCCCCTCCCATCTTTAATTGTAAATATCTGCCTTTATTTTCCGCTGTATATGATTCAACTACACAGGTTTATTTGGTAGTCTGGTCCTAGCCTCGTCACTACTTCGCCGAGGTTAGACTAGGCACTTACCAGCATATGGGGTCGGTTGTGCTGATACTACACTCTACACTCTTTTGTGCAGATCCTGGTACTGTAACTTTCGGACCGCAGTGAGGTTGCTACTTCCAGTTCATCAGGCGACCCGAGGTAGTCCTGCAGGCGTCTGCAGGTCTTGGCGTCTCCTTCTATCTTTTCATTCTGTTTCTTCATGTATTTAAGTGACAACGTTGTATTAATCTTTCAGACCTTTATTTGTAGTATTCTTAGATAGTCTGTGAAATTGTGACACCAGTTCTGGGTAGTTTATGTTATGGATTGGTATTGGTATCATTATTATAATATTACATTTCAGTCTTCCGCTTATTAATTCCGTTGTTTATATGATGTTGGTTCTTAATTGTTACAGGATTAAAATGGGAAAAAGGTAAATAATACAAATGGTTGGCTTGCCTAGCTTTCACTAGTAGGCGCGATCACGACTCCCGAGGGTGGAAAATTCGGGTTGTGACATTATGGCATTGTCAGTGATGATGGACTCTGATATCCCAAATATGCAAACGATGTTATTTCGGACAAAATCTGCCACCACCTTCTTTGTGACGACCTTGTAAGTAAATGCCTCGACCCATTTGGTGAAATAGTTGATGGCTACCAAAATAAAATGATGTCTGTTTAACATTGTAGGCTCTATGGTTCCTATCACATCCATGCCCTAGGCGGCGAAAGGCTAGGGTGAACCCATTATATTTAACTCATTTGGTGGAACCCGGATGAAATCTCCAAGAATCTGGCATTGGTGACACTTCTGCACATAGCGGATGTTGTCTCTTTCCAAAGTCATCCAAAAGTATCCAGCTCTCAAAATCTTTTTGGCTAACATGAACCTGTTCATGTGGGGTCCGCACGTCCCTACATGTATTTCTTCTAACATTTTGGTTACTTTAGCGACATCTACACATCTTCAGCAAACCTAAGTTTGTGGTCCTCCTATGTAAGTCTTCCCCGTTGAGGAAAAAGTGGGTTGCCAACCACCTAAGGGCTCGCTTTTGACCATTAGTAGTATTTTCTAGGAACTCCTGGTTCGCAAGGAACTTCTTGATGTCGTTATACCAAGGTTTACCATCTGGCTCTTCATTCACATGGAAGCAATAGGTATGTTGATCCTTGATTTCTATCTCGATAGGGTCGATGTAGCTCTTTTCTGAATGCTGAATCATAGATGATAAGGTCGCAAGGGCGTCGGCGAACTCGTTTTGAGTTATGGGGACGTGTTTGAACTCAATCTTTGGGAACATATTGCACAGCTCCTTCACGTAGTGCAGGTACGTCAATATCTTGACATTCTTAGTTGACCATTATCCTTGGACTTGGTGGATCAACAAATCAGAATCTCCTATGTCCAAAGTTCTTTGATGTTCATGTCGACTGCCATTCTCATTCCAAGGATGCATGCCTCGTATTTAGCCATATTATTGGTACAAGTGAATCTTATCTTCGCCGATGCTGGATAGTGTTGTCTAGATTCTGAAATCAAGACTGCAACAATCCCGACTCCTTTTAAGTTTGTTGCTCCATCGGAAAACATCCTCCACCCAGGGTATAACTCTGCAATATCTTCCCCAACAAATAGTACTTCTTCATCGAGGAAATACGTGGTTAGTGGTTCGTAATCCCCATCCACTGGATTCTCGGCGAGGTGGTCGGCTAAATCTTGTCCTTTGATAGCCTTCTATGTTATGTACACAATGCCAAATTCGCTGAGGAGAATTTGCTGCTTAGCTAGCTTCCCGGCAAGCATTGGCTTCTGAAAAATGTACTTGAGGGGGTCGAGCCGAGATATCAGATGCGTGGTGTATGCTGACATGTTGTAAGGCCCCGTTTCGCTAAGTAGTTTAGGATTTCGTGGTGTCACATAGGCTTATTATAATATATTTATGTGCTATTAACATGGTGTACATCAATTAGATTTGGTAAATATGTGTATAAGTCTTATGGTAAGTAATTTGGGGTCCAAGGAAAGGCCTAAGTCTAAGAAAAATTGGAAAAGTTCATAATAGGCTAAAATTTCAAATGAGCTTGCACTAGTCCATACTTTGGACGAGCATATGTTCGTGTATATGAGGAGTTGTGGGATGCACAACCTATCAAATTAAAGCTCTTTGAGTCTAGTTTCCGACGCATCAAACCGTTTGTTATTTGGAGGTGTATACAGAAAGTTATGACCATTTTACTGGACATGCGTCACCAGCGCGCCCAGGCGCGCGGCCGCGGGGTGGACCGCAAGGCTTCCTGCCTGGAACCGCGAGGTGGACCGCGGTGGAACGCCGTGGACCGCGGGGGAACCTGTAAAATGTCTAAAATACCCCTGGTCAGTGTAAAAACCGAAGGGGGTATCACCTTTCCTTCATTTTTGTCATTCAAGCTCGAATTTGGCAAGATTTCTTCATCCTACCAAGACCTCCAACCCCTCCCATCTTCAAGGCAAGTAATCCTTATGATCTTGGTGTGAAAGTCCATCATTTATACACTAATATTGATGAAATATTCAAATAAACACTTAGATTTTTCAAGAAATTCTTTTAAGAACCCAAAGAAGGGTTTCGCAAGATTTCTTCCAAAAAGGTAAATCCTACACCTTAGACTTACACATATGGAGTTATTATGGAAATATGAGTATGGATTAAGTATTGTAACTCATGGGATAGTGATTGGAAGCCCTAGGTGCCTAACCTAGGTTGTGTTGGTATTGTAGAGATTGTAAGATGGGTTATTGAGGTATGATTCTTGGGGTAATAGTATTATGTACACATGTATGTACAAATTAGGCTTGTGGGAAGATTGATGTATATAAATAAATAAATAAAGGGTTGGGGAATGAAGGAAGTCTTGTAAAAGAGATTAAAAATCAAGATGCTCAACTAGTGTTCGATAAAATGCTCAAATGAGTTGAAACCATGAATACCTTCCTAATTTGTGTTCTATTTTGTCATGTCTCATGTAGATTGGGATTGCTAGAATTTCCGAAGCGTCGTAGTAACATAAGGAAAGCTTAAACGAGGTATGTATGGCGAACTCTGACTCTTGTAGAATCCCCTTGTTGTGACGAGCATACGGTATGTGTACCTTGTATGAAAATATGTGAATTGATTGCCTTAGTTGATTTCCATACCACCAAGTTACATGTGATTGTGAGAAGTGATTTGATGTGCCTATCTTGTTATGTGCAAAGGTTGTAAGAGCTTGAAGATGTCGACATGGAAGTAGGTGTTTACTTGTATGAACTATTTGTGAATTCTTCTGATTAATGTGCCTTGAACGTTGTTGGTTAAGTCTTCCGATAAGATAGTGCAAGTAGATGGCAATAAACCAAGTTGTGATTGTGAATGTGTTATGTGGTAAGAACCGTGAAACAAGTGATGGAAAGGAATCGTAATTGGTGCAATTGAAACAACTGTGGTAATATCATGTGTGGCTTGATGTGGGAAACTATCGTTGTGACATAAATTGTACATTGGGCTGTTGAAAAAGATGGAAATAGGCATTGATGGTACTGAAAATCCTTTGTGAATTGTGCTGCTATTCCTTGAAGAATTGTTATTGTTGTCCTTGAGATTTGTTGTTGTTCTTGAGACCTCATCCACTTTCCGTCGGCTGTATTGGTGAGCCCCTTTCCTCTCGAGGCCCTGCGTGGCTCATGCCACTTTTTCTCCAGAGTCTATTTTGGTATTTGTGTAAGGTATAGCCGGAGCCTTGGTGCCAGCATTTCCATATTATTCTTTAGTTTTATTTAGAGGCTCCGTAGACAGGTTGTGGGTAGTGTCGGGCATGGGAATTTAAAATAGAAATATTGATGTTTGGCAATGATGTATAAAACTTGTAATACCTTTAATGTGGCGAATAAAGTTGCTAATGAAAATGAAAATGGAAATCGTTTGTGATATGTTTATAGAATTTGATTAATGGAGTCCATCTCCTATTTATTCATGAGTTAGTCTGGGTAGAGTGAGACCTAACAGGCTTGCTCGGTCGGGTTTACTTGGTTGAGCGCCGGTCGCACTCCTCGGATTTTGGGGCGTGACACATGTAATGCCTTAGCTTATGAGCAATCCAAGTCAGAGCACAACAAGTGCATTCTATGAAAGTGTACTTGGCCTCGCATGGTGTGAACTTCTTGCTTAAGTAGTAGCTGGCCTGCTCCTTTCTCCTGGTTTCGTCATGCTGTCCCAATATGCAGCCGAAGGCATTGTCCAAGACTGACAAATAGAGCAAAAATGGTTTCCATGGTTCCGGGGGAACCAGCACTGGCGGGTTTGATAGATACTCTTTGATTTTGTCGAAAGCTTTCTGGCACTCCTCCATCCATTTTGTGGCAACATCCTTCTTTAACAATTTGAAAATGGGTTCAAAGATTACCATGGACTGGGTTATGAAGCGACTGATGTAATTAAATCTTTCCAATAATTTCATGACATCTTTCTTGCTTTTTGATGGTGGTAATTCACCTCTTTCCTGCTTACGATAAAACCCAATGGTTTTCCAGCAGGGACTCCTAACGTGCACTTTGCTGGATTCAGCTTCAAATTGTACCTTCGCAGGCGTTCGAAAATTTTCCTCAGGTTGTCCTAATGCTCTGAACTCTTTCGAGATTTTATGATGACATCATCCAATACACTTCAATCTCCTTATGAATCATGTCGTGAAAGAGGGTTGTCATGGCTCTCATGTAGGTGGCGCCGGTGTTCTTAAGATCGAACGGCATAACCCTATAACAGTAGACTCCCCAAAGTGTGGTGAAAGTTATCTTCTCTTCATCATTCTCGTGCATTAGGATTTGATGGTATACAGCAAAACAATCCACAAACGACTGCGGTTCGTTCTTCGCACACTTGTCGATGAGAATATGGATATTTGGTAAGGGGAAATCGTCCTATGGACTAGGTTTGTTAAGATCCCAGTAATCCACACAACATATTCTGATCTTTCCGTCCTTTTTGGGAACTAGGACGATGTTTTCTAACCAGGATCGATAGTTGGTGACCCTGACTCCATTGTACATCTCTTCCCCTGGTTCGACATCCTTATTAGTCAGTGTCTTGATGTCAGTTCAATCACAGCATTCTTTAATCATGTTCACGAATAGCTTTCCCATCCCGTCGATGATATCATCTTCGGGTGTTGAACTCTGTCCCGGACTTGCAACATGCTCTGGCACAAAAACCTTTTTCCTGGAGCTAACAGTGCTAGTTTTCCTTTCTGGAGGCTGATATCCTATGCCAGCCCTTCCTTTTTGCCCATTGTGTTCAATTGGCTCTGTGATTCCATCTGACTTGGCTCCCAACCCTGTTCCTGACCTATATCCATATTTCATCATCTCCTTTATGGCTATCTTGGACCTGTACGACGATTGCATTCCCAAATTCTATTTAGTCTTCTCCTTCTCACTTGTCTGCATGATTTCTATAGCGTGAAAGGTGACTCTGTCTAGTCCCCTCAATGAATGGGACATCATACTCCAAATAGGCGGAATGACCCCAGTCGTCGTGGACCACAATCTCATGGCATCCCCACTCGAATTTTATGCATTGGTGCAAGGTAGACGGCACGACCTCTGCCATATGTATTCAGGGCCTGCCCAACATCAAATTGTAGGAAGAGGAGATGTCCATCACTTGAAATAACACTGGAAAATCGACCAGCCCGATCTGCAAGGCTAGATAAATTTCCCTAATAACATCCTTTTACGAGCTATCAAAGGCCCTCACCCTTACGTGGCTTCCTTGACCTCCCTCAAATTAATTCCGAACTCCTGCAGGGTGGAGAGCGGGAAAATGTTGACCCCTGGCCCTCCATCGACCAGCACTCGAGATACCATTTTTCCCCCGCATTTCACGGTGATGTGGAGAGCCTTGTTGTGACTTGCGCCTTCGATAGGAAGTTCATCTCTTCTGAAAGTGATCATGTTTGCTTCTACCATTTTCCCAATTGTCGCGGATAATGCTTTGCTGGTGGTGTTACTTGGTACACTTACCCCGCTTTGTACTTTCAATTAAGCATTCTTATGGCTATTAGATCTCATCAATAGATCCATGATAGATATCCGCGCTGGAGTTTTCTTTAACTGTTCTTCCACAGAATACTCTTTACTCGACATCCTTTTCCAAAACTTCCCAGCTTCTGGGTCTATTATGTTCCTCCTTGGAATTTGTTCTCTCCCTGGATTTCCTCGATTGACCTCTTCAGGGGCGTAACATCTCCCATACCTAGTCATACTATGGGCTGCGGCAGAGTATGTCATATTGGCTTTTCCCTTTTGCTGATAGATCAATGGGACAGTTATATATTCCCGATCTTCTTCACCTTGAGTAGCATCGGCAGGTTCCTGCAGATAAGTTTGAACTGTCACTGTAGGCTTTAGTTGTATTTTAATGATAGGAGCCTTTTTAGGAGGGATTCGTGCGGCTTATGCATTTTCGATAGTGATAATTGTTCCCTTCAGGTCATATTTCTCATCTAAGGTGATAATCCTCGACCCTGATCTTTGACTGATATCGGTTGTGGACGTCCGACCCGGTTACGGTGGGATACTCGATCAGATTCTCTTTCAGCTGTCTTGAAGCTACTGAGCTCCGCTTATTCAAGCCTGCACTGCCCAGTCGTCAGAGACCGGTGGTAGTTCCATTCATTCCGTTTGGAAGTGAGATATGAACTCTCGCAGCATTTCGTTCTCCCTCTGCTTGATCTTGAACACGTCGGACTTCCTCATTGCTACTTTGATGGCACCGGCATGTGCCTTGATGAAGGAGTTTGCCAGCATGGCAAACGAGTCTATGGAGTTTGGAGCTAGGTTGTGATACCACATCATGGCCCCCTTTGAGAGCGTTTCCCCAAACTTCTTCAGTAAGACGTACTTGATCTTGTCGTCTTTTATGTTGTTGCCCTTTACTGTGCAAGTGTAGGCAGTAACGTGTTCATTGGAGTCTGAGGTCCCATTGTATTTTGGGAGTTCTGACATTCTGAACTACTTTGGAATGGGTTTCGGAGCCGCTTCCTCAGGGAACGACCTTTGCACGAACTTCTTCGAATCCACACCTTTCAGGACCGGGAGTGAGCCCGGGATTTGGTCGACCCTGGAGTTGTAAGTCTCGATTTCTTGACATTGACTGCTATCATTTTCTCGCCCGATTCAATACTTTTGGTGAGGTCCTCGAGCATTTTTATGATGGAGGGATCGGCTATCGACCCATTATTTCTTGACCTCTCCAGTACCTGTTCGGCCAGGGGAGCTGTCTCCGGTGCTACCGTGCTAGGATTCTTCTGGTGACTTTGCAGTTGAGAAATAGCCAGCTTTTGTGCCTGCAATATTTCAAAAATAACATGAAGGCTAACTTCCCGTTCTTCCCGAGCTGGGGTTTTTTGGGCTTCCTGTTGGCCGACTTGGTGTATCCTCCTGTTGGTGTGGGAGCTTGTTCCGACGTGTCGAGCTTCACATGAGATTCCGTCTGCAGGAATCGGTCCTGGCACATTCTCAAGATTTTGTGGCGGCTCACCAACATCTGGAACATCCACACCATTTTCTCCGTGGTTCTCAATATTGTTGTTTACTGAATTAGACATTTTAACCTAAAACCGAAGATCTTGGACAAGAAAAAGCGTGAAACATAACTTGTGTTATGTGATGAAAACCAGCAAGAAAATAATCACTATTATTATTAGCCCCACGGTGGGCGCCAAACTATTTACCGTGAAAATGGTAATAACAATTAAATTTGTTGATGGGACTCTAAAAATACGTGATCTATTTTTATGCTAGTTGTTTAAGAAGAAGATGCTAAGTGCAGGAAGTTTAGAGACAAAATGCGAGCTAGAATAGAGTAATGATTAAACCGATAAGCTAGCCAATCGGGGCCTTGGACGGACCGATACGGGGCCTCGAGGAAGATAATAAATAAGAGCAACAGTATCAAGAGAATATGTTACAGAGAGAAAAGAGAGAGTTCTTGTATATTTCGTGTGAAGTAGTTGAAGCCACAGTCGCCCCTACAAAATGACAAAGATCCCCTTTATATAGAAGGGGAATCCTACACCGTATAAAGTACATTAATTGTAAAGATATGGAGATGGGATGGCTAGACATGACACCCTGATTCGGGTTCAGGGTAGGCCGTTCAGAGTAGGCCGACTAGGCTTTGTCAGACTTAGCCGCGTGTCTTGGGAACTCCCCATCTTTACCCTTGCCACGGTCAATATTGCTTTTAGGCCGGGTGTCGACGATCCTCGAGGGAGGGAACTCGACCACAGTTTTGCAGCCTCGAGGCTCCGAGATGGTCTTCTGGAATGCCTTAATAATGGGAAATTGGACCCTCGGATTTCACCGTATATAGATAGTCTCCGCGTTTCCTAGAACGAAGTGATGGGAAATGATTTTGATGCCCTACTCTTCGGGCTCCCCGCGACGACGTCATACCGGTGATGTAACCAACGACGTGGGCCTTCACGATAACCGGGACATCCCATAGACTTGTCTTTTCGACGTCATTTAATGCATTGTCGATTCCCATTCTTCAAAGCAATAATGCCGTCGCCGATTCACCTCCTGAGGACGTATTAACTGCGCATGCAGTTACGTGTTTCGAAGACAATAATGGTGCCATCGGTTACGCTATCGTTCTACCTATAAATGGGAGCTTTCTGGGATTAATTCCATCCAAGTGCGGTCCCATATTTACCATATCTTCTCTTCTTTCCATCCTTATCTATCGTTCGCCATATTTGAGGCCCATGGCCTTGCGATCATCTGGCCGTGATCATATCGGCCGTGCCAAGGTCTACCTCCCGAACCTCCCTCAGTCGAGCGAGATTTTGCTGTTTCGTTGCTGTTGTTGTTGTTGTTGTTATTGTTGTTCCGAGATGATGAGACAGGGAGGCCGATTTCCCCCGTCTAGGAAATGGGTTCAAACTATACACCACTACTAATGAGGGTGTTCGAACTTTGAGGTCTTGCACCCGGGAATGATATCTGAAGATGCTGCTGCCGAGGTCGCACCTTTGAGAATAGGCTAGGTTCTTAGTTATTCACTATGTGTACCCCTTTTCTTCTTTGTTTCTGTGTAAGGACCCCTTATGGGCTTTGTAATCATTTGTAAGGACTCCTCGTGGGCTGTTGTAATCAAACGTTTATGAATATAAAGATATTTTCTCGACTTTCATCTTTGATGCTTGCCATATTCTTTTTACATTTGTGGAGACTTCTGAATGTATGCCTTTGCTGACTATTGTCCATATCTAACTCGGATGCGAGTATTCTTTTTGTTTATCGGTTGATAAACGTCACCTCTCGGAGCCCCCTGTTGTTCCTCGGATTAAGCTTGAATCGGTCCGATAGACTCGGGCCGTCGGGACCCTTGGGTCATACGAAC